ATTAAATTATTATAAGTAATGTTTTACTTTAAATTTTTTCCTTGAATAATTATAAAATAAAAAATACACATTTCAATGTAAAAATAAATAAATTTCATTAATCTTTTAATCATTTTTCGGTTAACAAAAAATGAACCTAGTTCAAGTAAAGTTCGATTGTGGAATATTAAGTTATTTGTTTAGGATACATGAATTAAAAATTTTTGTTTATTGTTATTCTAGGTTCAAGAAAACTTCAACAGTTAGAATTTCAGATTTTGTTTTACATTTTATATATTACATATTGGTGTCATATAAAAGAGCATAAAAAATCACGAATTTTGATATATTTTTTGACAAATTCGGATAAAAAATAATAAAGTTATAAGAGTTTTTTAAAAAATTATGATTTAATGATGTCACCATCATGTCAATTAATTCATCTCTCCCTGCGCATCTCCGTGCGCATCACGGCTGACACAGCTTGGTTTTCTCCTTCTGGTTTTCTTGGTCAAAAAAGTGGAATCTCCCACCCCAGGAGCCCCCATACCCTGACCCGACAGGATTTTTGAGAGGGTGTTAATCACGGTGACTCAGTCGGCCCAATGATGGTAGGCCTTTTTCCCGTGCGCACCAGAGGCCCAACCTTATTTCAGATTCTGTGACCTCCACACGACCGCTGCGAGTTTCGAACATTGGTCACTTGGTCCAAATTTCCCACCACTGAACCAACTGAGCTACCCGTGCGGGTTCCTTCCGGTTTTCTTTCCACACCGTCAAGTACACCTTCTATTTTTAACACCGTCAACCCACTTACCCACTTTTAACCCCCTTATTAACCTACCACTACATGCCATTAGGAGTCCAAAATCCCCAAATTTAACATTTTTGACTCCTAAAACCTTACCAGTGCAGATAGCCTTATGTCTACTCATAAATTTATCTGTCAATTACTAGAGTACAAGGTTTAACTATATTTCATACACAAGTCTTATCATTTTTGTGCCCAAGAATAAAACCAAATGCGTACATAAAATATAAAATAGAAATTGTTTAAAATGGGATGAAAACATAGGCATAGATTCTTCTCACTTGTTCCCTGGGTGTCATCCATTTTTTTCACCGTTCTTCCCTCAGTTAGTGCCGGCCCTGGGCGTGTGCATCCAGCTCAATTGACCCAAAATTTTGGAAGGCCCAAAAAAATTAATAGTTGTATTACTCAGCCCAGGATCCGAAGCTTAGCTGTGAATTGCGAAGGAAATAGTGCAAATTACCCGCATGGTGTACAATTACAATTAAAATATCATTTATGTCCACCAACATAAAACTTTTCATATTTAACTTTCATATTTTCACTTTGTACTCTTTATTTCAAAAAGAGACTAATCGCTGAGTCTAATCGACACCAACTCCGCATCGGCCTTCATCTTCCTGAAGCTTCAGCCCTTCTTCCACATTCCTATCAATCTCCTCATTCGGTCATTCCTCAACAGCCTCTCTAGTGACTTCACCTCTATTCTTTCCATTCCACCTATTCGTATACCAGAGAGACGCATGACGCAAGACATATTCAAGGAGTCGTTGGAAAACCGCCTAAGTGCGGTTGGGACGAAGTGGAGATCGGCCAAGGGGAGACTTGCGTCGCTGGAGGAACAAGCTGCGAGCGACGCTATCACAGAGGTGGCAGAGTTCAGACTCTTGCTGGTGGTCATTGAGTCGGTGCGCACCTGGGCTACGAATCAGGCCAGGTTCTGTAATTCCATATCTGATTTCGTTTTCTAAGCAGATTTTCCGTGTTTTTTTTGCAAAAATCCAATTTCATTTTTTGGAATTCCTTTAGGCTGAATTCTGAAATTGCCGAGTAAAAAAAATAATAGGTGGCATCGGAAGACGCACATAGCGGCATATTTTCCAGGTTCCCTACTTTCTTTCTGAAGGAGAGACAGATTCATATTTATTTGAATAACTTCTAAGTTTATGCTCTTTGTGTTTTTCAGCATGCTGAGGTGTTAGGTCTCGTGGATATTCCTGACTATATTAGATTTTGGGGAATAGATTCTGGGATAAAACACAAGTAATAATTCAGACAAAATCCTAACTACTACCGCTCCTTTTCTTGCTAGAACGTTAGTAGGATATAACGACTCTATATTGCTTGAGTGATATTTTAAGTTATTGTCAAATTTTTAAAAATTGGATGGATAATGTTCTGCCAATGTTTTGGTTGATGTGCTGTAGAAGAACAACAACATATGCAACCAAATAATGTTGAAGTATTTGGTGAAGGAGGTCACTGAACAAATGGAACTCGAATTGAAGTGTAAAATTTGAATTAAAGCTCAGAATGAAACATGAGTTTTATAATGGATGAGTCAAGTATTTGTAGCAGTTGAAATCGGAATTTTATATTGAAACAGATTAAAAGTGGGCATTGATTCTCATTCAAGCTGACATGTTTGACATTAGTTGGCGATTAATTAGACATGAGAGCTCTTACAAGCTGTCTTCTACATACTAGATAGAGATATTAGTTGACAAATTTTATACATAGTAAATAGAGATATTTGTTGACACATTAAACGCATTTTTCCAGAAAAACACAGGAAATGTTTCACTCATGGAGAGCTATGCTTTTAATATTCTTAATGCTTCACATTAAAATTGTTCCCCTCACCTATGGAAAACAAAACATCAACCTCAAGTGACATCTCTACTAGGCCGGTCAAGTTATTTTCTCTTGATTGCTTTTTATTCAACTCGTGATGGTGCCAATATTTATTGTTTCTATACTTTTGACAGGTCTTGGAGAAGCATTTTGGAGAAGCATGTTGCAGCTGGCATTAGAAAGCATCCCATTGTTTTTGTGACTCATAGGTTGGTATATCCTTGTCTTGGGAACTTTTATTAACATCATGAGATATGGTTCTTGATTTTACGTTGCTAGAATTTACTTAAGTACCTTTCAAGTTCTTTTTGGATCCTCTTTTGAATGCAAACCGTATTAGTTCAACACAAATTACATGAAGAGTTTAGCACTATCTTGTTTATTTATCAAGGAGTCCACTCGACAAATCCTCTGGTGTACCTAAACAAAATTGTTGATGGATGTGTTGCTCGTCTTGCAGCCATGTTGGAAATGATGGAACCATTTTCTAGTGTTATGGACATGACTGGTATAGAATGATTAAATATGTGACGAGAAAGGTCTTCTTCAACCGGGGAGAATGTCTTATTAGCTACAAGTGATCATCGTGCTTGCTTCCATAAGGCACACCTACACTAGTGCCAGTATGAGTAACATACGAGAGAAGAAATGAGAAGAAGCAAAACCATACAATATACTACGTAATAGATAAATGTAGTAAATTGAAATAATAGATCAAATTGTATATTTGTTGTGAAACTATATACACCCGTAGTATTATATTTTGTTGCTTTTTGTTGTACCACATGTATTGCATTTTGTTGCATCGTGTTGCATTTTGTTGCATCATGTTGCATTTTGTTGAATCTTGTTACTTTTTGTTGCACTGTGTTTATTTTTATTGTTGACTTAGATGTTTGTTGTTTATTCAGATTTCTATTTATTTTTCTAAATTCTTAAAATAGAAATGTCTAGATAGATTTAGATACAAACATTGAAAATGTTAAATTTTGATTTGTGAATATAAAAAAAAGTAGAAACATAAAGAAACAATAAAAACAAATTTTTAGAAATGTCAACAAAAAAGAAACACAAAGAAACCATATGCAACAAAAACTAAAAAAATGATAATAATAATTATTCAAAGTTTATGTACTCTAAGAAACATTACATTCAAAAACAGTTTTTTGTTATTTTTTTGGATTTCTATATATTTTTCTAATCCTTAAAATTGAAATATCTATATAGACAGTATGAACAAACACCAAAAAATGTTAAATATCAATTAATGAATATGAACAACAAGAAGAAACAATAAAAACAAGAATTCCAAAGTTATCAACAAAAATAAACACAAAGAAACAATAGGAAACAAAAACACCTAAAATAATAAAATTGGACTTATGAATAAACAAAAAGAAATTTGAAGAAACAATAAAAAACAAAAAAATTGTAAAATTATCAACAAAGGGAAACACGAAGAAACAATATGCAACAAAAGTAAAAAATAAGTGATAATGATATAATAAAAATGAATTTATGTCCAGGGTTTTAGATTTTAATGCTTAAAAATTTAGTCTAGTTCTCTGATTTTTAAAAATTCAAAGAATCTTATTTTCTATTTTTATTTACTTATTAACAGTAATTTTGAAGTTTTAGATGTTTTCAAACTTTATATATAAATTTGAGTTTTTTTATGTGTTCTAAATCTCAGAATTCATCTTCTTTAATTTTTGTTACAATTTGTTTTAGCTTTAACGAATTTTAATTTTTTTTTTATCTTAAATGTTTAAAATTTTTGTTTTCGAAAGGGTTAAAACAAAACCAGTTTAACACTTGTTTTAGTTTTTTGAAGTTTTCTGATAATTCATATATTTTTTATTTGAATTGCTTGCTTTCCTTCATTCTTTTCTTAATATTATGATTTTTATTTATTTTCTTTTTAAAAATATTTTCATTATTTTTTAGACTTTTTGACTCTTTTAAAAAAATAAACCATGTTCATATTTATAATTGTTTGAAAAATCTTTCGTGTTATTTTTTTTTATAATGTATACTTTTAATATTTAAAGATCATCCGATTTATAAAATTTCCTCCTTTAATGCATTTTTATTTTTATTTTACAAAAAAAATATTTTCTAATTTACATTTTTTAAGAGTTGAATAAAGTTGGAGATAACACTTTTGCTTACTAACGTGGCATGCGTGCAAACTTTCCTTTTTAATAACCTAACTGCACTTTTAAGGAATCAAGACTCTACTTACGAAAGTCTATTTATGAAACGAAAACTTTACTGGTCTATTTTTGAAAAAAACTTTCAAAAGTGAAAAAAGTGATATAATTTTGAATTTTAGGCTATTTGTGAAAATTTACGAAATAGAACGAAGTACGAACGAAGGGAACCGCAAGTCTGAAGCTTTGAACTGCGAAAGGTCGAAGGAAATACAGAACGAAATTACAAACGAACTACGAAGGGGACCTGTGGTCTGCGGAGTGCCGAGTGCGGAATACCGAAGACGGGAAGAAAAAGCCGCCGACGACCGCCGCCAGCCAGCCCCAGGCTCCAAGCCTCCAGCCTGCCACCACCGCGCCACGCAGCGACGCCCCGCTTGACCGCCTCCAGTCTCCAGGACCACGACCGCACCAGTCCGGCAGTCCACTGTCCACGCTAGGCCTCTACCCGCAGTGACCCGTAAGCAACTAAGCATATTTTCTGATATCTTTGATTCTTTGAATTGCAAATTAGTGAAATTAATTAGTTCATTGTTTCCTACTTGCCTTGTTGTGATTTGTTTATCTATTGCGGTAATTTATTACTTATTATGTAATTGAATTGAGAATAAGCGTGTTTAAAAATTATTTAATTAAGAATTTGAATGATGTAAATTAAATTTTAACCTAATTTTTGTTAACATGTACAGGACTAGGGGATAATTTGAATTATTGATATTTGGTAGTAAATATGTTTCCAATGAAATACCCATCCGGTCATGAGAAGAAGCTTCAAAAGAAAAGAAGAATTGAAATGTTAACTTTGTCTAAAAGAGGAGCTATTGAAAAATTTATTACGGGGTATTAAAGTAGCTAGAGAGGTTCAACAGGGTGAACAGCATGATGTAGATGTTGAGAATAATGTTGAAATACCAAATCATTGTGGTAACGACATGGTTGAGAATCCTGATAAAGAGGACAATATTATCAATGTTTTAGCTGATAGGCCAAACAATTCTGCTTTGTTTTTGCTGTTAGTAGATGACTTTGCCTCTAAATACGCTAGAAGAATGTCTCTTTTTAAATGAAAGGTATTTAATTAATGACTACTTTTATTTTTACCAAAAAAAATTGACTACTATTTTTATTATTATGTTCATTAGTAACTTGTATTTTAATACAAATTACTTGTGTTGGAACTTGGAAAAAAGGCCTGATTTTTGTTGTTGCACAGGGTCCCCATTTTCTCAGGACTGGCCCTGCCCTCGGTCCACCCATCGAAAACACATCACGACGCTGTACTTTGTTTTTCATATAAATAAAGGTTTCCCGTTCAATTTTGATAATCTTCAATAATGGCCTATGCTCAAATTGGTAGAAATGTCATCCGCCGCCAGCTTTCTGTTCCGGACAGAGGGATCCACCATCCATTGTTCTATGCCGCTCAAGGGCTCCGCTACAGAAAATTGGAAGTTATTCTCACTAATGTGGGCTTCTTCTTGATGAAATCCTATAGTTTCTCATACATCCTTTAAATCTATTTAACTTATTGTTAGTTTCATTGTGTAATAGAGCATTGAGAAGCTTGGGAAAGCAGGTGATACGGTCAAAGTCGCACCTGGTTTTTTCCGGAACCATCTGATGCCAAAGTTGCTTGCTGTCCCTAACATTGATAAGTACAGGCATCTTCTCAAAGATCAGAGCAAGGTTTCTGGAACTATCAAAATAACTGCTGTTTTTGATTATTTTTTATTTTTGGTGCAATAATACTAATGTTTGCCATTTCTGTTAAGGTCCCAAAACAGTCATATTTGAAAACTTAATTTTGAATTAAAAAATGGTCCTTTTAAACAATAGAAGCTGAATTTCGTGATATGTGATGTATATTTTTCTTCCAACCGTCTCAAACAAATTAAGTATGTTAAATTTAGGTAAGCAAACATATAAATTTTAAAATATAGGTAGAATTGATGGTTTCTAATAGTTGTACCTTTCTAAAATTTAAAACTTGTACCTACCTCAGACGTTAGTGAAAGTGTGGAACGTGCTGTTTTTCTGGGGTGAAGGTAGTATCAAATTTCAAAATAAATGTATGTCCAAAATTTCAAAACATGTTTTCTCTTCCACTTAACCGGAAAAAGTGCTTGTCCAAAATTTGTTCCTTCCACATTGTATGTTGTTTGACCGTATATGTGCTATGCATAATCTTAATACTTAAACATGATTGCATATCATCTTGGCCAGATTTACCAACCCAAAGAAGATGTAAAGGTTAATGTGATTCCACAAACAAACGAAGATAAGATGAAAGAATACCAGGCAGCAGCCAACCGCCTTGATAGAACTGTGGTGGTGAGTATCTTCTTGCCAAAATATTTTTGCCTTTGCCATGAAATGGTCAGGTTGTGCATGTGTGTTGGACAATGGCTCTCTGTTGTACTGCACTTTTTGCAACTTATTTCTGCCAACAGACATATTTTTCTTAAATATGACCTGCTTCTGCTTTAGGTTGTGAGGAAATTCATCAAAGTTGACAATGAGATACGGGAACCCGTAACTAAAGAAGAAATTGTAGCAGAGGTAATCTTCTTTTAGCAAGTGTCCTGTACTATAACTGTCTTCTGCTTCTTTATATCCCTATTATGGTTTTGCTTGTTTGACGCATTTACAGTGTTCTGTGAAGCTGAAAGTGTATGTGTAAAAGTTTGATTGCTCTCAAACTTTGGAAAAAGATAGTAATCCCCCAGTCCCATATTAACTTCTCATTTCTATTTACGATTTGTAAGTGAGACTGAAGGTAAATTTAACTGTCCTCTAGTAATAATAAAATTAATATGGATAATTAGAATTCACTGTTTTAGGAACTACATAAAAAAATTATTGAACCGCAAAAACTGATTTGATATATGTTATAAAATTTGATATACAAAATCAGAGATCAAAGAGAAATTAAGATGACAGTGGGAATACTGAATGTGAACATATATTGGGACGGAAGAAGTAATTCTATGAAATGAGATGTAGGATGTCATTCTGTAAGTAGTTATTCCTTAATCCTTAAACATGGTCTTGAGGGCAGAGTTAGCTCATTGTTTTTAATTTTATTTGGTATAATCACGTCACCAGTATTTTACAGAAAAAATGTGATTCTTTAGTCTTGTAATTGGAAATTGAGTTGTAATGAACAATTTTGAATTACCCAGGTAACTGTAGTTGCGTTGTCCTAAAATCTTTTCGAGTCTTTGGCTTTGTTCAGGTTGCAAGACAGCTTTCAGTTAGCATAGAACCTGAGAATGTGCACTTGCCCTCTCCCTTGTCATCTTTGGGTGAGTTTGAAGTGCCACTGCGCCTGCCTAGGTCCATCCCTCTGCCTGAGGGGAAGCTTCATTGGGCTCTCAAAGTCAAAATCCGGAGAAAATAAATGTTGGGTGTCACCGACTGTCACACCTCATCGAGTATGCTAAAATATATGTCTGTAGAGGAAGTCGCTAAGAGACACACCAATGAGTATCGGGAATCATTATGGCTTTCTCATGAATGAACTTGCTTGATGGCAATCTGATACATAAGGGTGCATGACACAGAACCGAATAGTGAGTGCATCTATTTAAACGGTTCTAGAGATTTTTATCCCGAACTAAAGCCATACTGCACCGTTTGAAACGGGGACAAGACCGGTTTTAGATTTTGAGAAACGAAAAATATCGAACCAGACCGTACTAAAATAATTTATTTGAGATTTTTTCTATATTTTCCATCCATATAAATCTCTTATCCTGACCAACAATTTTTTAGTCAAAGTATGCTTTCATTCGTCCTTAAAGTAGCTCAATATGTATGTTTATATAAATTCTGTTATTCGTTTCTTTTGGTTAATTTAGGTTATATTTTGGTATAAATTGAAATAATGTTGAAGTTTTAAAATAACTTATGACTATAAACTTCCAGTAATGTAGCTGTGTTGGATCATATTTGTGTAATCTTGTAACATAATTAATATAGTTATATCTTGGCTCATACGGTGCAGCTATGAATTAGAAATTTAGAACTAATATTCAACCTAAAAAATAAAGAAGGATGATAGATTTTTCTATTATATTCAATAGTTTGACGATATTCTTGTTATGTTTTCACGTAAATCTAAAAGATGATATATACTATCGTATTTGGTAGTTTGGTCATCACGTGAGGTGTTGCAATGGTCTACGGATGGCGCCAGTGTCCCGATCATCCTAGGTGCGACGGTGATTCTGTCACTGCAACAAGGTGTGCATTTCCTCCATCATACTGTTCATCCGTTCGTTCATCCTGTCGCTCAGTTCCGCAACAGTGCGTTCCATGTTATCCATTCGGTTTTCCATCCGCGATCGAGTGAAGGGCATCCACAATCACATAAATGTTGGTCTCTGGTACCAATGATACGCTCTCAAGACAGCTCAACGTTCGTTCAATCAAACTCAATATTTAGAATGAACTTAAACAGTTTGCAGTACAACTGCGATTACAGAAATAACAAAGATGAAATGAAAAATGATAAAGTTGAGATGGCGCTCTCAAGTCCCAAGTCCCAAGATTAACAAACTTCTGGCCAAACTTTCTCTTTCTTCCTTTCTCCTTTTTTATTCCTTTCCCATGCATATCCAGTCCGTGTCAGCCGGTATGTTTTGTCTCATCCTCCACTCCCTTGATTTGTTTCTTTACCTTATCACCCCTCCTTTCATAAACTCTAGTAAAATCCCTATTAGGACTAATAGTCTAATAGATAGCAAGTTCGGGATCGAATCAGATCAATCCCTTGATGTACACTTACTCTATATCAATGGGGATGGTGTAGTAGAAGCTATGGATAGGCTTGAGGTATATGTCATACATTACTAATACTGCACAGCCTGCACTAATAGGGTTTCTAAATTATTACTAAAATGATACTCAAGAAAAAATGCAATTAAATGATCAGTGATACCTCTAGGGGTGGACCGGTTCCGGTTCAGGCCCGACCGGGCCTCGGTTCATGAAAGGGGAGGCCCGGAACTGGCCCGGGTAACCCCGGGTCCGGTCCGGGCCTCGGTTCATTTAATATTTTTTTGTCTTTTCCTAATTAACCCCCAACCCTCCTCCCTCACCCCAAACCACCTCAAATGGCCCATCATACCCAGCCCAACCCAAAAACTTAAAAAAAATTCAAAAAAAAAAAATTCAAAAAAAAAAAGAAATTGGCCCGAACCGGGCCGGTTCACTATTTAGCAGGCCTGGGCCCGAACCACCTACCTCACCGGACCGGGTGGCCCCACCCGGGCACCAACCGGTTCACCGGGCCGGTCCGGGCCCACACAGTAGCGGGCCGGTCCAGTTCCGAGCCGGTTGGCCCGGCCCGAGCCCACTCCTAGATACCTCCACCACAATACGCGCTACACAACACCAATGGATATTGTCATTATATTATAATAACACAATTCCTCCCATAGCCCATACTTTTTAGCACATATATATGGCTCAATATGCGGTTGGCGCGTAGACCATACGATATTACTAGGGATGGACTTGGGTCCGGGCGGGCCGACGGTTCAGAAATGGTGGACCCGGGACCAGCCCGGGTAACCACCGGGTCCGGTCCGGGCCCATTATATTTTTTTTTGTTTTCCTCTTCCTGATTAACCCCCCTCCCACCCCCAACCCCCCAAACCACCCCAAATGGCCCAAAATACCCAGCCCAACCCAAAAATTTTAAAAAAAATTGAAAACAAAAAAAATAGTTTTTGGCCCGAACCGGGCCCGGCCGGGTCGGGCCTTGTTTTGGGTGACCCGAGCCCGGACCGGAAAACCCACGGGCCGGGCCTACCCGGACCGGTCACTGACCGGGCCACCGGGTCGGGCCGGGCCAGAACAGTACCGGTCCCGGGCCGGTTCCAGGTCGGGCCACCCGACCCGAGTCCATCCCTAGATATTACCATTTATGGTACTAGGAGATTTCAGGCGACTTTACTATACCAAATTATCAATGGCTCAATATGCATTACATCTCTATGATTCTTTTTATACCGGAAATGAATTGCAACTATGTAAACATAACATGTTCTTATAATGAGCATCTCATGTAGTTTTATCCTATTTTGAATCACAAAAACACTACATCAACCCATGTTTCACACATTATGGAACAAAACAGAAATTAATACGGAGTAATAAAAAATAATGCCGAGGGGGGTGGGGGGTTGCAACATACACTGAACTCCTACATATTGCACAATGTGGGTAAGATGATGCATGACATGAATATATATTAGGCAAAAATTACAGTTCTTCTATCTTCCAAAGCCGAACCCGAGACTGAATCCATCCAATAGATCGAGTTGTTCGATGAGGCATACAAGTACACTTCAGCATACAACTTGTGATTTAAATCAATGCAAAATGCCAAAAACTCCATGATTGCATGTTCATTTGTTAATGGCCAAGCATCATGTCGTCCAACTTTTTCTTTTGTAATCATATCTGTGGTGATGTTGTAAGAAAAGCTCGACTGCGCCCAATCATATGCTCACACATGACGGAGACATACCCAATATTCTCCATTCAAAATGAGATCAGATTGAGATTCCCCGATAAAGAATGAAAATACCTACCACCATTTCCAAAAAATACATAATAAGTTCTTCAAGATATATTTGATTGGATATGTGTGTGTGTGTGTCTTTTCCTTCATATGTAAAGATGAAAAATTATACTCAGTAGCTTTTGGTAGGGGTGAGTGGATCATAATCATAAGCGTCACCAGCCTTGATGAATCGTCCCTTCACACGCCTTCTAACATCAGCTCTTTCCTTGCGCGATGAATACCTAACTTGCTTTTCAAACCTATTATAACATTACCGGCAAGGAAATGAAATAGATGGTTATGAGGGCCAATTTGGTTATTTTGGTGAAATATCAAAATCTGTCAATCTGCTAATTTTTCTTGAAAGAAAAAACATCTGGCTACATTCATTTAAAGCAAATAAGTCCGAGCTCCACAAGTTCTTATTGTTCTGCTAATCTGGTAAGTAGAATAAGCAGATATTGGAAACCAGCTGGAGCCTTATTCTCCTACTTTACTTATAAGCAAAACAACCCGGTTATGACTACCAAACGGAGCATGAGGAACAGTAGTTGGTAGCTGGACTATGATCTATTTAAATATAAAGAAGAAAAGGTCATACTTGCGTGTCTTTTTCTTTTCTTTGTAGCGTAACACAGCATCGCTCCTAATAGTGGATGGCATTAAATTATCAGAAGCCGAGGAGGCCCACGGCGGTGGCTCTCCCATGAGAATCATCGAGGAAGCAACACGGTCCTGATGACAATCCCCCGCAATACCCTCTCTGGTGTAGCAAAGATTGGGTTGTGTTCTGGAATCAGCATTGTTGTATGTTGGTTGCATTGCTTTCCCCTATATTTGCGGTGATTGAAGATGTTAATGAATTAGAGGACCAAATAACATGTAAATTGAAGAGGTCAGGTAATTTGCATTGCAATAATTATAATGATTATTGTCTTCCAAGACAGAAATTTCCACTAGACCTAATCCACCCTTAGCTAGTTTCCCTTCCTGGAAATAACACTAAGGAAAATTATTTTTTAATTAATTGGTTTAACTAAAGTATCAATAGATATCCAAAATTTCCACTATGGTTTCCTTTCCTATCTTCTTTCCGAAGTATTTTTCAGGATCCAAACGGTTCCTTAAATGTTACTTTCTTTGAAAATTGAGATAGAGAATGGGTAAAAGTGAGAATTTGTACAACGAGAGGTATTGAAAATGGAAGTAAATAGGCCAAGAGAGAATTGATGACAACAACCTGGGAACTGGAAATATCATTCATGTTGAACAGGTCATCTTCAAACATGCATTCTTGATTGTTAAGAGACATGTCAAATAGTTCCTCGTAGTTTTCAAAACCAATATCAATTTCATCCACATCGAAACCCACATTAAAAGAACCATCTTCGCAGAAACTCTGACCTTTAGTTCCAGAACAGCAAACCTGAGAAGAAGCTAAAGTAGTTCTTAAGAATTGATGAAATGTTAGCATTAACGTAATCATCAAGCCCCTTAGTTCTAAACTATGTTCAATGCAACAGTACAAAGGGGCTTAAGATCTCTAGTTTTCTCTTATGTTTTTGGTTAGCTATATGACAAGCTTTACTTGAGGTTTAAGTGATAATGTTAACATGCTAAAGTCAAAAGGGGAAGCAATTATTCCTCAAAAAGTTTACAATTTCTAGAAGTTTCCTAGTAACCAAAACATCATTGAGCAAATCTGGTAAGAGCTATTTGACTGAAATGGCGGGCTGAATCTGCTAAATTTTCTTAAACAAAGAGCACTTAGTCGCAATGTTCTTTTTAGCCAAATAACTAACTCAAAAGTTGTGAGTTACTCCCTTCATCCCAAATTATTTGTCTTTATAGCCAATACCTTTCGTCCCAAATTAGTTTTCATTTAGGAATTCAATGGCTATTTTGTATTCGTCTCCCAAATTTGCTGTTGTTGACTTTTCCCTTATGAAATGCTACTTTGTATCGAAAAAATATAAGAATAATTTAATGTTGAATTGTTGATCTTTTATAGGGATATGAATGTCATTTTATTCTTTAGTATCTGCAGTTTTCTAAAGCATGAGTTAAGTCTGGGACAAAGGAAGTATGCCGTATTCTGACCGAATAAGCTATTCTAGAAAAAACTACCAAACAGATCCTAAAATACCTTGGTTGAAGCGGAGCAGGTAGCTCCGTTTAGTGGCAGCACTCGAATATTCTCGTATTTTATGTTCCTGCCTTCATCCACATCTTCATTGAAGTTGTTATTCCTTTCAGGTGCTCCTTGGCTATCAGTGATGCACATTGAACCCATTCCCTGTTCACAAGCGAAATCATCACCGACCGATGTGAAATCAGAGCGAAAAGACCACATCGCCGAAAGCTCAGAAGCCGAAGGACAGCCCGAATAACAACTAACTGCTTGTCTCTTGTGGGTTGACCCGCCCGAGTGCCCCGCCCAATCACAACTCTCGCAAAGACATACCCTTTCCTCCATACATCTAACAAAAGCGGGTTGCTCGTTACATCTTTCACATACAAGTGTCCTGAGATGGCGGCGCGAGAGGGCGTTTGCGGAATGAACATTTTGGTCACAGGACAGACACAAACAAGCAGTATCAGACTGGCAGTATACAATTGATCTCTCTTCTCCGCAAAATTCACACATATAACCCATCCTTATTATTCACTTCTTTTTTCTTCAATATCCAAGCCCCCAAAGTCTTCTACGATATAATTTTCAACGTTTCAGCTGGAAAAAATAGCATCAATTATTTCCTGTATATGCTGGAATTGTTTAGTCCTGGCCAAAACATATAAATCAATTTTTGAGCCACTCCAGCTTTTATTACTGAACCCAAGACAATAATAACAAATGAGAAATTGTCTCTTTTAACAGAGTTATTTTTTGGGCACATAAAAACTTGATCAAATAACAACAACAACAACAACAATAATAGACCAATCTTTCACCGGTTCATTCAAGGAAAGAAAAAAGACTACTGGAAGAAAACTAATTTCCAATAATCAGAAAGAAAAAAACTGTAGAATTTACACGACATCCATTGTTTCCTAGTCATCCTAACCTCCAACATCAGTTAAAACAAATGGAGAAATTTATCCGTCTCCTGATCCATTGAATAAAAAGAATAAAAAATTTATAAAGAAACTTAGATCCTTAATTTTTTTAAGGAAAGAACTACTTTGATCTTATTAAACCACTGGGTACAATCAACTGATGAGAAAATATACAGTAAATAATTAAGTTAAGAACTGGATCCAGTCAACAAGAGAAGAAATTGATCACAAACCAGAAATCTTACCATTCAAAGGCAAATAAAAACAACAGGATAGCTTTGGTGTTCATCAATACTCGAAAATTTTCACCAAATCAGAAGGAGATCGATAGAGAAAAAAGTAACCATATTTCAGGTGGAAAAAGAAAAAAGGGAAAAGGGTCAGAAAATCTAACCTTTTGCAAAATCTGACTGTAAAAGATGCCGAGAACACATAACACCAGAAACAAAGTACAAATTACCTTTTCTCAGCAGCTTTCACATGGAATATGAAAGCCTAAACAGAAAGACCTTTTCAGACACCATCTCTCTAGATGTGTCCTAGTTTGTTTGTTTGTTGTTGAAATTTTACATGGTACTCCGTAATAAAAAGTGATTATTATGATTTGTAAATGACAATTTACTTCTTGAACTTTTATTATATTTTTTTGAATGTCTTTAGTTCATATAATTTTACATCCCTGTAAAATTATTATTTTTTGTTTTCATTCCTGAAATTTATATCGATTTTCTTTTTAGTTCATCACCGGTGATAAGTGATAACAACATCCGTTTGTACCCGAAATTACCTCGACTAATAAGTTTCTTTTAATTCGTTGTCATGTTATTTAAAAAGATATTTTTTTATTTTTCAAAAGGTTTTCAATAAATATTACGGAATATTAAAATGTGAATAATTAGTTTTTCATTGTTTTAACTCTTATATTAGTCTCAAAAAAGTATAAAAGGATATTTAGAAATGAACTAAAAAACAAAATAGTGCATATATAGGGATGTAAAACAAAAATATATTTTACAGGGACATAAAATTAAGTACTAGCTAGTACGTCATATTTGCAAAGACTAAAAACGTATTTAAAACATATACCGAAGATTTGTTTAATTTGATAGGAATTCCGTCAACATGAATTTAACTTTTGATTAAAAATAAAATTTATGATTCTATATTTTATTTTCATTTGTGTGAAATATTAGTTTTAATCATTAGATTATCAAAGAATTAATGTTTGATTTTTATTTTTATGATGAATTAATATTAATCGTTACATATGTATTAGAGGTGAAAAAGTAAGTTTGAAAAATCTATCTTTGAACAAAATTAAGATCTACAATTGAAACCAAAAATTGATAATAAAAAAATAAGTTAGTCCGAAAATTCATTTTTTATAAAATATGAAGTTGGTCTGAAGGAATATCCATCGAACTTAATAAAGTTAGATTTCTAGAGAATCACATAGTTCTCTAGAAAACCTCACAATATTCTAGAATATTCTACACTCTTCCACACGCTTCTAGATAATTGCATGCCTCTCTAGAAAGTTCCACAATATTCTAGAATGTTCAGTATTTTTCTACACACATCTAGAGAATTCTAAATATCTCCGCAGCATTCTAGAAATCTCGTTAATTTTTCAATTAAGGAGGGAACCCAACATGTCACGCCCCAGACCTATCCGGACACGTCAACACTCCGCCGTACAATATGAATAGTCAACCGCAGTCTAACTCATCCATATTATACAAGGCGTCTCGAATATCATTCACACATAAGTCATCCATAAACATACATAATAAGTAATTGAATACACAGCGGAAATCATAGTTTGAAAACAAGTGCCACACGGGGCAAACACGAGCACGCAGGCTTCATAATGAAAAACAATATCCATGAGCATGTTTAAATTGTTTAAAAACAGAATGGAGGAAGCACGAACCAAGTCTTCCCTCCGAGATGATCGCCCGATCAACAAGCACAGGTAGCAAGCTCTAGCCTCAACCTGAAATGGTGGTGGGACGCCCCCCGAAAGGGGGTCAGTACTCAATATGGCTATAAAGTATTGGTGTGGATGACATCTAATAGATATACAACAAGTATTTCAAACACAAGACCCTCAAATAGGGTGATAATATAATCTAGGCCGTAACCCCAAGTTACCCCTTTTCAAAATATACTTACTTATATATAAAGTCAAGTAGTCGGCCCGTAGGCCCAAGGTTTGTTTACAAAACATAACCCAACCCTGTGACCCCTAGTCACGATAATACACAGGGTCCAACCCTAACACACATGTTTGTATTCCTCGAGTCCAACTCGACTATATCACCATGCACATCATTCACAAGTCAATTACTCCACCAATCTCCGACGTCATGTTCACCCTTGCAATTCTAGAGCATCGGGCTCAAGTACATCTCCTTACATGGGCTGAACCAAATCCTTATGTCTACCCAATGCAATTCTAGAGCATCGGGCTCAAGTACATCTCATTGCATTGACATAAACCCCAATTCCTAAGCACTCGCTATGCCTAGAATTGTAATATCAATAATCTATTTCGGGACATCCTTACGGACTGCCTCATCATGACCTTAGCATCACATTTCATCAATTTAGTCACTTGAACCACAATCAAGTACATCACTTACAATCAAATCCTTAGATTCAATTCCTTAACAATTACAAACAATCATTAACTAGTATTCCAATACTATTAAGATTATTCCCATCAATCAAATATTTTATTTGTAAATACCTACATATTTAGAAATATGTAGCAGCAACTTAATCATCCAATGTAATACATAAATAATCATTTATATATCTTCACAATCACACATGAGTAAAAATGCCTATTTCACACAATAGTTCATTTAACTCCATTTTTATCAATATGATTTCCAAATCATTTGCAATTTCATTTCTTATCTAATATATCAATATTTCATCAATAATCAGTCATTATAATCCATGAAAAACATGATTTAGGCATTTAGGTAATCTCATGCTTAACCTACAAGTTGTAAGCAACTAGATGTTGATCCTCACCTTAAATGAGCTTTAAATTTCTCCTTCTTGATCCAATGGTCAAAGCTTCGGCCAAGATGGATTAAGAAATGATTCCTTGCTTAAATATGAGTGTTAAGCAGCCTTCTCACAGTGCTAGCTCAAACCCTAAACGTTGACACGAAAACAGTCCCTAGAACGGGTGTTTTCCGGCGAATTCGTTCCCTAACCTTTCAAGGTTTTGTCTAGGTTAGTATCTAACCTTTCCAACAATTAAAGTTACTCTATAATAACATTTTATACACTAAAACCGGTGTATAATAGTTCTTCAATCATTCATAGGATTTAGTCAATAGAAAGGAATGTTTTGGATTCGAACTTACTTTGAATACCAAAAACGTATTCTGCGAAGTTTCGTTGTGTTCGGATGATTTGGAGGCCTTAAACTGCTCCGTTTAACGCAAACCGCACTTCTATGGATTCCTTTTTCAAGAGGTTTCTTTTGGCACCTCACACGCCTCGATTGGATGTGTATTTCTCAAGATAAAACGCAAACAGTGAGCTCCACGAACTGGAATGAATCCCTGCAGCCAGCTCTCCTTCTTCTTCCTTTTTCTTGGGTTGTGCGGCTCTCCCTTCCTCCTTATCCTTTTAGTTCGAATGGGGGTGAGGGAGAGGTTTTTAGAAGCTCTCAAATGCTTATCCTTTGAGCATTTGAGAGGTGGTTCACGATAAAATAGGTAGGGTGTTTGATTCCAATCAAACATGGGATGGTCCTCCTCTTTTATTTCTCTTTTGTATTGTTTGAGCTCCCAACTCAATAGGTCCGCCCCATTTATGTGTTCTAACTTATCCTACCTGTTTTTCAGGTTCTAGGAAGGTGTGGGGCGTACTCTCATGTCCCCCAATTAATTTGGGAGCAAAATACATACCAATACATCCAAAAGTGGAAAGATGAGTCCTATCATTTTTGTCCTTTGTCATAAGATGTACTTTTGTACTCTCCCCAATTTATTTAGATCAAGTCAACCTTCTACATCATATTATTGGTCTATAATATGTGTAGGGTGGTCCCAATAATTTATTTGATGTATAATTACAAAAGAAAACCCTACTCTCATTATTTAGCCTAATAATGCCAAAGATGGGACCATAGACATTTATATTCTTCTCCAATCATTCCATCATTCAATTATGATATTAATATTTATATATCTGGGCTACCAACCATGTGGGTCACCCTCCAATGGGTCTAGGACACCATTCTTGAATAATTACTATTTTTAGCAGGTTAGGCCCAAAATAACATTTGGGCTGCCCGACCGCACTTACATTGTACCGAGGGGTTGTATATCTTTATTTAAGGACGTTGGGCCCCAATATCAATAATATGGCCTAATTAATTATTTAGAAGTCCATTACCCTTATATGAGCTCAAATAGTAATATGATTAATCATACGTTCCGTAAAACTTTAATCGTTTTACCATTGTTCAAAAATAGGGAAATTCAATACATAAGCTTTGAAATTAAATTTAAATTTCCAGGACGTTCGGGTGCGGTGTCACAAGTTCACCCCCCCTTAACAGGAATTTCGTCCCCCAAATTCACGGTGCTACTCAAATAGGAAGGCGTATTGCTCTCTCATCAAAGCTTCCGTTTTCCAAGTCTACTCTTCAACACGGTCAATCCGAATTGAGTCTCTCTCGAATCAACTTCACCTTTGACTTGGTGATTTCAACCAATTCAGTACTCTCGAGTTTGGCCACGCCAACCTCGTCCCAGCATAACGGTGTACGGCATTTGATCATTTATCTAATTTATATTTATCATGCATTTGATCGGTCCAAATCACTATTTTAATCATGCATTTGATCTATATTTTTATATAAATGATAAAAATAGGGGTATCGTATCTATCATGCATTTGATCGGTCCAAATCACTATTTTAATCATTTATTTAATTTATATTTAAATTATTCAATTGCAATATTCTTATTGGTGAATGTGGACAATGTACGGTACTTTGAGGGTATCATAAAGTTTGCCTTGGTCTTAATGATTGTTAGACTCCCTTGATATGAAAATTGTGTATAGATTTCATCTTATTATTTTTTCCTGCGTACCAACACAGTGAAAATATTACACTCTGGATATTTTTTACATTTCAATTTAGTAAAATATGAATTAGATTGTTATGAGCAATGTTTTCATTGAATTTTTATTAAATAATTATGAAATTAAAAAATGCACATTTTTGTGTTAAGATATTGTTTGGTTAATGGCCCAACAAGGACCGGCCCACCAACCCATAAGAGCCTCCTACGAGCGGCCCCACAATGAATGGGGGCTTTCCGATAAACGTCCTCAGAAAGTCCACGAGAATTCCCTACGAACGTCCTCTTGGAAGCCCAAGTCTCAGGGGACGCACCTATCCCATGGTCAACAGGTACCCAGGCCCAAGACTCCCGCATGGTGCATAGGGATGAACGTCCCCACCCCTTCATAGGAGGCCAAGAGTAGCTCAAAGAATAGGTCAAGGATAACTCAAGTTCTTGGGGACGAAC